GATAAAATTACAAACAGCTATTTCTGGGCTGTATCTTATATCTGGTACCAAATATCATTCTTGTGGAGTGCATATTACGAATGTGAGAGGCTTAAACACCAAATCGAATACAACATATATATGGGAGCTATAGCTGTTTCTGAACCGATTTTCTCCAAATTTGTTGTATTTGTTTTAAGGCTAATCTCGGTCACATGTGCCAAAATTCGGGCCATTTGGGCTGATATTGGCCATTTGGTGGTCAATTAACCCGAAATCGGATGAAGATATATATGGAAGCTATATCCAAATCTGAACCGATTTCGATAAAATTTAAAACAGCTATTTCTGTGCTCCATCTAATACCTGGTACCAAACATCACGGTTGTGGAGTGCATAGTAAGAATGTTAGGGACTTAAAGATCAAATCTGATGAAAGATATATATGGGAGCTATAGCTATATCTGAACCGATTTTCTCCAAATTTGATATACTTGCTTCTAGGCCGAACTCGGTTGGGTGTGCCAAAATTCAGGTAATTTGGACTGATAGTGGACATTTGGTGCTCATTTAACCCGAAATCGGATGAAGATATATATGGGAGCTATATCTAAATTTGATCCGATTCTCACCAATTTCAATAGGGTTCGTCCTTGGGCCAAAAAAAGATTGTTTGGAAAATTTCATCTCAATCGGATAATAAATGCGACCTGCATTTTGTTCACAAGAATACATGGACAGACGGACGGACATGCATAAATCGACTCAGAAAGTGATTCTATGAAGGTTCTCAAAAGTAACTATGGGTCTATCTCGTTTCCTTCTCCATGTTACAAACAAATGCACAAAGACATTATACCCTTACCACTATGTGGTGCAGGGTATAAAAATGTTCTTGAAAGAGTCGGACATCACAACTTTGGTCAAAATATTTCAATTCGTTATATCCACACTAGAACATCAACAATTATCCTGTAATTGGGCAAAATGTTTTTGTTACCCTCTATTTCCGCATCCTAATATATCCGTTAAACTTGGATCAATTGTTTCATTTTGGAAATTTTCAGAATTCTTAATCGAATGTGATGGTTTACTATAATCCATTTTCAGATATATGCATTACGATGCAATGTCATAAAAGTAAACTTTCCTTCATGTATAACAAATGGTTAATTTTGATTTATCATCCACTGAAGATGCTGATCATTTGTTACCGATTTACGTTTCATTGAACGACATGTTTGTCACATTATAACGGATATGGTTTTGAGATAAACAATAGATTTAATGACAATTTGGCTTTTAATTCAAGGAATTTAAAAAGATTTTTTTTTTTATTTTCTTTTATAAATACATAAATATGTATATAAAAACACAAAGAACAGACGTGAGCAGTCTGCGGGACCAGACCAGTTTTCAATGGAACAGAACACAAAACAAAGCAGTAAATAAAAACTGTTTAGTCTTAGAATGAGTTCACCAATATTAACTGTTAATGTTGTCACATCATGTTTCTTTCAATACCAACATAAATAACCATATAACGATAGGTTTTCTTGGAAGAAAATATCTTACTAAAATGAAGTTCAATGAAAGCGGATAATATAACCATTTTCTTCAGCAAAAATGAACTGTAATGTTTTTGAGCTTCTCGTGCTATTTAAAAGGCATTTGCGCTAATAAAGCTAATAGGAACAAGTTAAAAAGCAGTAAGTTCGGCCGAGCCGAACTTTGAATACCCTCCACCATTTGTAACGAATTTGGAAATTTTCAAAAAATAAAATCCGTTAAAAAGTCTGTTAAAATCTTAAAAATACCGAATATAGCCGTTATATTGGGGTCAATACGACGTGAACCTACATCAAATTCGAAACTTGAAATAAACGGTGAACAATGTATAATCATCAAAATACCGTATATAAGGAGGTACCGTTATATGGGGGATAAACGAAGACCTGGACCTGCATAGACAATTTTCTGTCACAGGCTGTAGCATCCATTACGAACTTCAAATACGACATCTCAAACAATTTCGGTGAGTATTGTACCTAAAATCGTCAAAATACGGAATATAGGAAGGTACTGTTATATATAGGACTTATATGAAGACTTGGACCTACATACACAATTTTCTGCCACAGACTGTAGTTCCCCTTACGAACTCTAAATACGTAATTTGAAACTACTAATGACGCTAAAATCATCAAAATACCAAATATTGGGAGGTACCGTTATATGAGGGCTATCTGAAGACTTGGTACTACATAGCTTATTTACGAACTTAACCTGCCTTTTTTCTCAATTCGTTCGATGTCGTTTACAACAGACATGAAGTCGAGCGGGGTTTTACATGATTCTTACCTTGACGGCTCTAACCAAGATGCACAATTGCACCGGTGTCGCAATACGATGCGTCGGGCAGCGCCCATTTGAAATTACTTAGAGTTGTCTTAGGGAGTGGCAGCTCTCCACAGAGATCTAAGTCTATTCCGCAGGTACCAATTCGAAGATTTGCTATATGGGCTTCACTATGGGCTTATGACTATCTTACACCTCTGCTGCTCTATGGGTCGCAGCACCCGGTTGAGAATGCAACACCACATCGAGCCGAAGCTCTACCCGCCATTTGGGTATCAACCACAACCACCGTTGCACTCCATAGTCAGGCTACATCAACACGATGAGTAAGATTAAGGCACTATCATGGAATAGGACGAGTGCAGCACAAGTGCTACACTGATGGAGCAGTCTAATCACCACGTTTACATTGACGTAGCGTTCTCACTGCGAGGAGCGAGGCCTGTCCGTCTGTGGAAATCACTCTAGCTTCGAACGAAATGAAGTAGGTTGATAAAATTGTACTCAAATGTGTACTATGTCTCCACTTTTTGTTTTGACAGAAAATTGTCTATGCAGGTCCACGTTTTGGTATAGCCCTCATATAATGGTACCTCATTTTTTTCGGTATTTGGTATTTGAAGTATATGAAGTTCGTAATGGGTACTACAGACTATGCCAGAAATATATATTCTTTGTGGGATACAATATTATTGTTATTATTATAACTACTAGCTGAACCCGGTGCGCTTCGCTACCCCTTTTGATTTTATATTGCACTACTTTAATGCGTTAATAAACAAAACCATTAGTAGTAACATGTAACATGACATGCATACACGAAGGGTTTGTCCTTCGGATTTATTTATTTCATAGCAAATACCAAGCGTGCAGGAAACTGAAATTTTTTGAAGTTGAGTTGCATTTCTATTGCAATTAGTAAATTCGAGGTAGCAACATACTTCCCCTTAATAAGCGTATTTCAAATTAACTGTTGTGTTGTTTTTTAGTCTTAGCCTAAGGCGTTGTGGGTCAATGGTTCTTATTAACCCAATCTGATCCGATTTAAATATAACTTTAAAAAATTACTTTTACACCAAATTCCGCCACAACTTTCATATTTGATTGAAATTGGTGCGTCAAATATGTGAAATCGGCCGAGAATATATATATGGGAGCTATATCCAAATCTTAACTAATTTCCAATTAATTTATCACATTTATTATTGTAACCAAATTCCGCCACATATTCTGAATTTCATATAAATCATATATGAATCATATATTTCATATAAGTCATATAAATCGTGTTTGGTACATAACATGTATGAAGTCGGCCGAAATATATATGTTAGCTATACCCAAACCTCAACCGATTTCAATATAATTTGGCAATTTTTTTCTGGTGCCAGATTTCGTATCTCTCGCTTTGGGTGCATCAAATATGTGAAATCGGCGGAAAATATATATGGGAGCTATATCCAAATCTGAACCGATTTTAATATAATTTGACTAATTTATTTTCTAATCAAAATCCCGTCACATATTCCAAATTTCTTTGAATCGAACATACATAGCGTGTATGGTGCGTAAAATACATGAAATCGGTCGAAAATATATATGAGAGCTATATCCAAATCTGAACCGATTTTAATATAATTTGACTAATTTATTTTCTAATCAAAATCCAGTCACACATTCCCAATTTCACTGGAATCGAACATACATATCGTATTTGGTGCATCAAATAAACGAAATCGGTTGAAGCGAATACAAATACATGAAATCGGTAGAAAATATATGTGGGAGCTATATCCAAATCTGAACCGATTTCAATATAATTTGACAAATTCATTTTTGCTCCCAATTTCGTTACTTATTTCAAATTTCATTAAAATTGGACATATATATCGTGTTTGGTGCACCAAATACATGAAATCGGCCGAAAATGTATATGGGCGCTATATCCAAATCTGAACCGATTTCAATATAATTTGATAAATTTATTTTCGGATCAAATCCGTTAAACATTCCAAAATTCATTGGAATCGAACATTCATATCGTGTTTGAGGCATCAAATGAACGAAATCGGTCGAAAATATATATGGAAGCTATATCCAAATCTGAACCGATTTCAATATAATTTGGGAAATTTATTTTTGTTCCAAATTGCGTTACGCATTCCAAATTTGGAGACTGTATCTGTAATCGATCTGTAGATATGTGCATACAAAGTCTAAATTTTTGGAAGATACCTCCGATTCTGATGCTATATCTCCAGTTCTAAGTGGAATTTCAAAAATTTATATAGCCTATGTTATTTTCAGGCGATGTTGCAGTATACATGCAAATTTTCAGGAAAATCTGTACAGCGGTTTTTGAGTCCATAAATTACAAACAAACATACAAACATTTTCCTCTTTTATAGATATAGAAGATTATTATTAAGACAAGTAAAAAGAACTATTTTGATAACATCAAAAGAAACTATAGTTAAATCTCTTTTCAGATAATATATTTACTCGATAAATAACGTAGCACTAACCACATTCAGAATTATATGCATCCTTGGAGTAATGCCTGGGTGACATTGGGTGATAAACTGATAAGGTTTTAATAATGGCATACATTTCTTTGTTTAATTTAAAATAATATTTATTTCAAATCATCCGAGTAACAAACAACAATTTAATTCCAACTCAATTTAATTCAATTCCTTAGGAGGGTGGGCATTGATGTATTCAATGGCCTTGAGGATGTGTTCTGGAACTGGTGGAGGAGTGGGCAACAAGGGGTTGGCAGCATCGACATGGTAACCGTTTTCATCGGCGGTGTATTGCAAAGAGACTTGTTCGCCTTCGGGGGAGGTGAAGGAGTATTGGCCCTTGACGACCCAGGTATCTTCACCGGCCAATTTACCTTCTTGTTCAGCCTTGATGCTGTTGTCGAATTCGTAGGCGTATTTGAAATTGTCCACATTCACTTCGGCGTCATTACGGAGGACATTGGCTTCTTCGTTAGCGGCAACAACGGCCAAAACGCAGGCAAGAACGATCTGTTAACAGAGAGGAAAAAAATATACTTGGTTAGTGACGAATGATCAGAAAGCTATTAATGTTATCCGTGGACTTACGAAGAATTTCATTGTGACAGAGTTGTTTGATAGAATCTCAAGATGATACTAATAATGACACTGCCAAATTACGGCCAATTTATACTACCAAAGCGGAATAAAGTTGGTATGATAAGAAAAAAACTTGTTTCTTATGTAAATTATGTAACAACACAAACTATGCCTACTTAATTTAGCATTTATGCCTACGTATCTGCTTAGTGTAGAATGAAATTTGGTATGGCTGCTGACGACAGAATTAATTATTTTAAAATAATATTTTGAAAACCATAACATGTTTCATAAATGATGATTTCTAATATCGGTGGATGATATTAAAACCATGTCGTCATTAGAAAAAGAAAATTGCTTTGGAATGCTTTTAAGGTTCTACTCACACAAATATTATATTGGGGGTAGCTACGGTTTTGTTTTTCGTAAGTTAAAACTACTGTTTCATAGGGTAATGCGATATGTTTTTTGTGTCAAACGTCGTGATCATATATCTCCTTCTGTGAAGGAGTTTCTCGGTAGTTCGTTTGAGTGTTTTGTGAATCCAAAGATCAATGTTATTCTTCTACAAAGATTTTAAATTGAGGACATCTTCTACTCTTTTGGATCTTTTTAGCGAATCAAGTGCAGTGGAAATGTCACATTATTCAAAATTTTAAAGTTGTAGGTCCTATGAATCGCTCGATAACAATGTTGTGAATTTTACAACCTTTTAGTACTATTCGTACACTTTGAGTAGGAGTTTGAAAAAATCTCACCCCATCTTAACAACTTACAAAGAGAGTCCCGGTGCAAAATTCTGCACTGCTCTACCTAGTACTGGTTAAGTAATATCAATTTGTATCATTTCGTATCGTTAATTACCCGGAGGAAAATATAATAATAACCATAACACAACTTTAAACAAATCATATATTATGTTCTACTGTTTTGTTCCTTTAAGGTAAGACTTTCCAAAACTCAAGCATATTCCAGCAATAGTGACCTGTCTTAACAACCGCTTAGTACGAATTTTCAAAAATTGTTCAATATATCGAGTTGTCCTTATACAGAGCCCTAGCTCTTACTGGTCTCTTAATAACAGTGTCGTACAATTTTGTGATTTATTTGCTCTTTTCATGCAATTTAAGTGGGGAATTTTAAAATTTTGTTGTTGTAAAATTGTCAGGCTTAATCCCGTTATAATCGTTTTATAAAAACAACATTTATTAGTGGTAAGTAAGCTCAAAAGAAGAGGAAACAAAGAATTAAATTAAACTGAAATTCTTTAGGAAAATCGTCTGAATCTTACAACAGCAAAGTTTTCATAACTCTCCACTTGTTATGCTTTCGTTTTACATGAACGACATAGCATACCCATGTAAGTTGTTTTTGTCTGTTACAACAAAAACCGTTTCCTCGACAATTTTTTTTTTTTTTTTGAAATAGGAGTCATTTTTAAAATAACTCCTGGGGAGAATATTCCAGACAAAAAACCAGTAAGAAAAAGTCAAATGTCGGGCGGGGCCGACTATTTGATACTTTACACCACTATGCATATTTAGTAGAGCTCCCGTTACAAAAGAATTTATTTTAAGTAGGTCAGACCATCTATCAACATTTGGCTTTATAGCAGTTATAGTTTGCTATAGAGTGCATGATATAACTTGAGGAGGATTATATTGAAAAAATATATATCGGAATCGAAATTCACATCATTTGGGCTGATATTAGACATTATTTGCACAGTAAACTTGAAATTGTATTAAGGGCCGTTCTCGATAAAATTTGGAAAATATATTTCCGAACTTTATAAGATATCTGGTACCAAATATCATTGTTGTCGAATGCATATTACAGATGTGAGGGACTTAAACGCCAAATCAGATGAAATATATATATGGAAGCTATAGCTATATCTACATCGATTCTCTCAAAAATTAATGTACTTGCCGAAATTCAGGTAATTTGGACTGACATTGGCCATTTGGTGTGAAATTAACCAGAAATCGGTTAAGGATATATATGGGAGCTATATCCAAATCTGAACCGATCTCGATAACAGTTGACAGAGGTATTTTTGAGCAGTATCTGATATCCGGTACCAAATATCATTCTTCTGGAGTGCATATTACGCATGTGAGGGACTTAAAACCCCATATCGGATGAAACATATATATGGAATCTATAGCTATATCTTAACCGATTTTCTCCAAATTGGATTTACTTGCTTCTAGACTGAATTCGGTGGGATGTATCAAAATACAGGTCATTTGGACTTATATTAACAAATTTGATTTACTTGCTTCTGGACTGAATTTGGTGGGATGTACCAAAATACCGGCCATTTGGACTTATATTAGCCATTAGGCGCAATTTACCCGAAATCGATTATCAACAATTTCAATAGGGTTCGTCCTTGGGCCAAACAAACATTGTTTGCAAAATTTTATCTCAATCGGATAATAAATGCGACCTACATTTTGTTAACCAGAATACATGGACGGACGGACTAACATACATAAATCGACTCAGAAAGTGATACTTTGAAGATCCTCAAAGGTAACTATGGGTATATCTCTGTTCTTTCTCCCTGTTACAAACAAATGTACAAATACATAATCACTATAACAAGGGTATTACAAGGGAACTGATGAGGATTGGTGGCTCTTTTCGAAACCTAGGTACCCTGCCATACCCTTTGGTACTCATTACCATCATTCTCCACTAATAAACAAACGTTGTTTTTATAAAGACAACAATAATGGGATTAAGTCTGACAATTTTGCAACTACTGAATAACCTCAATCATGTGGCAGAAATAGTTTTTCAGTAGAATAAAATTAATACAGTCCCGACAAAAATAGGGTAATCACATGTCTCAATTGCTAGTATGACATCAATATACCCTCTGCATTATCAGTAGGTCAAAATTGTATACCACTACAAAATCTCTGCATTACCAATTATTTATACAATAATGAAATGTTCATAAAATATTTGTAAAGAAAATCTAATATCCCAGACAAAAAAAAACCAGTAAGAATAAGTCTAAAGTCGGACTATATTATACCCTTCATCACTATGTATATTTAGTAGCCTCCCATTTATTATCTGGTTTCAGAGAAAACATATATATTGGAGGCATATCCAATTCTGAATTGATATAAAACAAATTTGACGGAGACATTTTAATCTGTTATACCAAATAACAGTGCTTTAGAAGGATTATATAAAAAATATATATATCGGAGCCGAGTTCCACCAAATGGAAACGTACGTCCAGAAATCCACTCCTTTTGGACTTATATAAGCCATTATTTGCACAATAAACCTGAAATCGTATTGAAGATATGTATGGGAGCTATATTCAAATCTTAGCCGATCTCCATAAAATTTGGCAAAGGTATTTCCGAGCTCTACTGATGAGGATTGGTGGCTCTTTATGAAACCTAGGTATTCCCTGTCTTACCCCCTGATGCATTTTACCATCTTTCTCCAATAATAAACATACGTTGTTTTTGTATAAAAACAACAATTTTTTTTTATTTTGCAACAACAAAATACAACGGTAACCCGAATGAATGACCAACACTGGTAAATAGGGGTTGTTGATCAAAATATTTACATTTACGTAGTCTCTTCGATTCAAATGAGTTTCTTACGTCATTACAGACGGTTTCCCTTTCAGGTGGTGGTAACAAATTTGGCATCATCGATTAAGTAGCCAAAAACAAGAATATACATATTTTAAAACATGTCCGTATAATCAACATATGTTGTTTAGCATTTTTTCATATAGGCCTATAAGACGAAATAAACATAATTTTAATATTTACATAGGAAACAAGTTCTTAACAGTACCATAATTGATCGGATGAGCTCTTTTTCTCCGCGATATGACAGTATAAATGGACCACAACTTGAGAGTGTCATTATTAGTATCATCTTTAGATTCTATCAAACAACTCTGTCACAATGAAATTCTTCGTGAGTTCAAGGATTAAACTAATCGCTTTTGGAGCATTCGCCAATAACCGTTAAATGTTCTTCCTTTCTGTTAACAGATCGTTCTTGCCTGTGTTTTGGCCGTTGTTGCCGCCAACGAAGAAGCCAATGTCCTCCGTAATGACGCCGAAGTGAATGTGGACAATTTCAAATACGCCTACGAATTCGACAACAGCATCAAGGCTGAACAAGAAGGTAAATTGGCCGGTGAAGATACCTGGGTCGTCAAGGGCCAATACTCCTTCACCTCCCCCGAAGGCGAACAAGTCTCTTTGCAATACACCGCCGATGAAAACGGTTACCATGTCGATGCTGCCAACCCCTTGTTGCCCACTCCTCCACCAGTTCCAGAACACATCCTCAAGGCCATTGAATACATCAATGCCCACCCTCCCAAGGCATTGAATTAAATTGAGTTGGAATTAAATTGTTGTTTGTTACTCGGATGATTTGAAATAAATATTATTTTAAATTAAACAAAGAAATGTATGCCATTATTAAAACCTTATCAGTTTATCGCTGCTGTAATGAGTAGAAACAAATGTCACTAAGGCATTACTCCAAGAAGGAAGATAATTGTGAATGTGATCAGCTCTAAGTTATTTATCGAGTGAATATATATTTTCTGAGAGAAAACTGTGCTCAATTTCTTTCTGATGTTTTAAAAATAGTAACAGTATTATTATATCTCACAAAGTACATTTGTTCCTAAATTGTCTCAGAATGTTACCCTGATTAAGACCATTTAGTAATGTGGTCCGTTCGAGCGAATTGAGATAGTAAACATGTGTCTGTGGGCTATGTCGATTCAAGATTTCTTATAGACCTCATAAAACGGGGCCTCCTATTTTCTATTTGTATGTTTTAAACAAGTTGCCTATAATTTTGTAAAAAAAAACATTATGTTCGGCCGGGCCGAAATTTAATACCCTCCACATTTGGGTAAAGGTAACATTTTCATATAAAAGTATCTGAATGCAAACGGGTTCTTCTTTACACTTTAAACTACAAATACCAGTGAGAACTTTTGGGTAATGCTGTTAAACTTTGCAAAAAAAAAAAAAAAATCATAAAGTGGATGAGGCCGTTATATGGGGGC